ATTTATAGGAGCGCGCCCAATCAGGCCGTGCTTTTATGGGACTGCATTTTGTTCATTTAAAGTTTGTATTGAGGACGAGGTTTTGAATAAACGAATGTATCTGCAAGAAAATTTTGAATTCCTGTAGTTTCAAGCAAAAATTGAATCTTATTGCTTGATGTTTAGCAGATGAAAAAATTTTTATTATTGTTTGTTTATGAGTTTTCTTCACTTTCCTGGAAAAAGGATTGCTTGGAAAAAGCTTTTGTTATTACTCCTTGTCCGTTCAACTGGCAGCTTTTCCAGCTGCTTTGGTCAATGCTGCATTGTTTGGTAGTGAGCTTTTTGGCAACTGTAATGCCTGTTCGGTCTCCAGCGGTTATTAACCCAGCAATTCTCCCATCAAAAGCACTTAGCGAGGTTTCAGCCACCCAGAAATCTCCTTGGCGTGTGTTAAGTTGCCTCGTTCCTAGCGTTGTCACTCCCTGACTGCGATAATTTGCCATGCCGATTAGGGATTTTTCATAATATATCATCAAATTTCAGTCTCGTACAATGTTGGGTGGACGAGCTGAGCGAAACGAATATTTACTGCTGCATGCTTTCCACAGAGCTGGTTATGTGGCTCCTAACAAGTACCAAACCGATTTTAAAAGAAATAAAAAAGTGTTTGATACGGAAAATGATGCTGCTACTGCTGAAAAAGATGGTAACAGCAGGCCATTGCGCACCCGAAAAGCGCAGTATGTCGGTGGTTTGGTGCTTGAACCAAAGATCGGTATCCATTTTAGATAATTTCAATTTTTCTCCAAAAAAATTAATGAGAAATAAGTCAGCGGAACAAACACGGAGTAGCGGTTTTGTACATTTTAATCTACTTTTTGGCCCGCTCATAGTTCAGCGTTTTTCAATAAATCATGAGTGAGCTAGACAACCCTGAAATATCCTTTATTTTGTGTTGTTCGAGGAATTCCTTCAATCTCCATCTGTCGCGCCTGCAGACGAGAGCATTTTATCCATTTTCTTGTCTGTTCTCTCCATAGGTGGGTCCAGCGCAGTCTCTTGGGCAAGGGGAGAGGGGGAGCGACTTTTCATTTCCCCTTCCTTCTTCACCACTATATTCCTCCCCCCCCCCC